GGACTCCATTGCTGATTGACTGCAAGATGATGTGTTCCTATGGGCAGCAGTGGTGATGTTTTGGCAATAGCTTTGTCTAAGGAGGCCAGGGTTTGAATAGTGAAGATGCGGGTGGAAAAGAGTCTTTGCTCAAATGACTCTGCAGTCCAGAAAGTATATACACTTTCCTCTAGGAGACAGAGTGGGTGCGGCGAACAGGTTTTCTGTGTGGTGATGGAGAAGCACACTTGATGGTGCTTTCTTATAGCTTATAGCAAGCTTTTACCCACAATAAACTGCAGACTATCCAGAACTCTGCAGCCCATGTCCTTTCGCGCACCAGGCTCCATGAGCCTATCACCCCATCCTTGCTGGGCTCCATTGGGTCCCCATCCACAAGCAGATCGAATTCAGGGTCCTCGTTCTCACCTTCAAATCCTTCCACGTTCTTGCACTACCCTATCTCTGTGACCTCCTCAAACCCTACCAACTCAGCCACTCACTTCACTCAGTGAACACCGGCCTGCTTCATGTCCCCCACCCTATCGGTTCCACCATCAACAGGTGAGCTTTCAACTATTCTGCCCCTGTCCATTGGAACTCCAATGCTGTGTCCCTCCGACTTGCTCCCTCTCACTTTATTCAAGGTTGGTTTCAAGATATATCTCTTTACCGTGCTTTGATCAAGGAGTCCTGTAGCTCAGTGGTTAGAGCACTCGCTTTGCAAGCGAGAGACCTGAGTTCAATTCCAGGCAGGGCGAAACCTTGGGCAAGTTTCCTTACTTCTCACGCCTAATAATATTCCCTCCAAAAAAAAACAATAATAAATTGGTCATTTTCAATCTACAACTGTTTGTGGGACACTGTTGTGCGCAATTGACTGCCGCGTTCGTCCACAAATATAGTCGATTCACTTTACAGTATATTCTGTGAAGCACTTTGGGACGTCGAGAAGACGTGAAAAGCGCTATATCAAATGCAAGGATTATTATTATTATTATTATCATCATCTTTCCCCTTCCCACCATCTTCAGTTCCTACCCCCAGCACAGCATTTTAATCATAAGGTGCACTGTACAAAGCACATAGATAAAAATGAAACACTTGTTGTAAAAATAAACTTTGAGGATTTTAGAGCAAATTTTAAGACTAAAAATAACAACTAGCATTTATATAGCACCCCCCACTCCAGCGGGGTCCCAGAGCGCTTAACAGTGGTAGAGCTCAATGCTGAACCAGGGGGAATGGGAAAGGTGACTGCAGGCACGGTCGAAGAGGAAGGTCTTCTGGTGCGACCTAAAGATGGGGAAGGAGGGGGCAAGGCAGAGGAATAGAGGAAGAATGTTTCAAAGTTTCGGTGCATAGTGGAACGGAGGGTATGAGGGACACCAAGAAGGCCGGAGCCAGTCAAGCAGAGGCAGCAGGGAGTGAGTTGGGGAGTAAGATGTCTTAAAATGCTTCACAGGATATACTGTAAAGTGGACCGACTGTGTATTTGTGGGCAAATAGTGTCATGGGAGCTTTAACATCCACCTAAAGAGGTAGACTGTGTGGCTGTGCTGGGTATTTATTTTCTTCCTTCTCCTTTCCTCTAGTGATAGTCCTACTGGGCTGCAGTGAAGAGGCACTGGTCCCTTGGGATATCTCGACTAAGTGTCCACTATTCAGTGTGAGCCTTGCTAGTAAGTGCCATCCGGTTCCTCGACAGCAGAGAGCATCACTGTCTGATCCTATCCTCATTCCATGTTGGTACACACCTTCCGGATTGGATCACTACATAGCGCTCAGGAATTGGAACACTAACTGATTCTCCTCTGCCTATCTCAGGGCACTGAGATCACGTTGTAGCCTTTTATTCTGCCCTTTCTAACATGAGGTAACTCACTAATGGACCTGAAAGCTGCATGTCTAATTATTTTTCTAATTCTCCCTGGTTCCCCCCCCCCACATATTCACACACTCGTATATGCCTTTGTCCAGACCCCCAACACCTCAGTGGGCATTGATCATGTGTGAGGCTTTGCATGAGTGTAGAGGACCTCACAGTCCAGCCTGATCTCTCCATCCTCAGCTGTCACACACACACATATATGTATATCACTAGTATGGGCGCTGAAAAGGGACCAAAAGTAAGAGGCCTGGTCAAGGTTTTCCCCTCCCTGACACTGGGAAGGCTGGGGCCAACTTTCCATGCAGCCCCAGTTTAGCCCATCACAGCCTATCACAGACCAGCTAGCTCCCAGTCCGTAAGATATTGCCCCGTTCACCACAAGATCATGTTTATGCCACCAACTACTCAGACTTTACAGCTCAGTTTACTAGCTGTCTGTACTCAGCACTGATCCTATAATGGAAAAACAATGAGCCTTGAAAGCCGGTTCACTGCAAATTGGGAAACTGATTTGAGGATGGGAGGAATGCTATAAATTACTTAGTGGTGGTGATCTGCTTTCAGATGAAGAAAAAAGAAGCTTTCAAGATTCATTATGCAAAACATTTTTCTATGATACAGTACAGTTGGCAAAGACAGTGACAGCTGAGTTCTGGTTGTTCAGCATTCAAATCTCATCATGACAGCAAATGCTGTTATGAAACCTCTTTCCCCGCACTCTTCTATTCCCCAGTAATACATAAAAGTGCTTCCTCATCCTCTTAGGGAGAGAAAAGCTTTGACTCATTTCACTGTTCCTCTGGCTTGATGAAAAGTGCCATGATAATGTTTGTGACACTGTATGGATGACACAACTAATGTCACTGCACTGCATGCTTACAAATATTTTTCCTCAGGCAGCGATATACCTTTAAAAGAATCAACTTATTTTCCCTCTTCATTTCCTCTCGATTTCTCTCCCTCTCAGACATTGCTCTGTGCAATTGGCAATTGACACTGTCAAACCACTTTACAGTATATCCTGTGAAGGGTTTGAGTTGTTTCGATGATAAGATAATGCGCTATATCAAATGCAAGGATTACTATTATTATCTTCACAGCCCATACACTCACAAAACAATCCCCCAGGTCTTCGGCACTGCCACTACGGAGCTGGTTGCAATGTGCAAAGAGCAACCTCGTTTTCTTAAAAAACTCCTTTTCGTACAGTCCCTTCCCTATTTCTCACTGTTCTTTCTCTTACATGGGGAAGCACCAGGCCCTGCTCACTACTAACCCATACCAAGTGTAATTGTAAAATCACAACAACAGCAAAAACTGTGACTAGGATATCCATCCCTTAAATAATTCTCAGACTCAATCGATTTTTGTGCAAACAGATAATAATAATCCTTGCATTTGGTATATTTGTTTCGCCCACAAAATACACAGTCAATCCACTTTCCAATATACTCTGTGAAGCGCTTTGAGGCGTCTCAACAACATGATAAGGCACTATATCAATTGTAAGGATTATTATTATTATAGAACCTTTCACATCAAGAGGACGGTCCAAAGCACTTCACAGGATATGTTAATAGAATTGTAAAGTGGAGTGAGTAACTGTGTTTTATAGGCAAACAACAAATGTTATGACATTGGTAGAAAATATAACAATGTACAACAATAACAAAATTACATTTATAGAGCTCCTTTCATGTTGGGAGAATGACCCAAGGTGCTGGACAGTCAGGGTTCAGGACTCAAGCATGGGGGAGGGGTGGGGTAGGGGGGAGGGAAGGCAAAGAGGTGGGAGGGCGACCGAAGGCACGATCGAAGAGGAGGGTCTTGAGACCGGCCTTGAAGGAGGCAAGGGAGGAAACGAGGTGAAGGGACTGTGGGATGGAATTCCAGAGTGTGGGGGCAGAGAGGGTGAAAGCCTGGCCATCAATGGTAGGGCAGGTCGGGTAGGAGACATGGAGCAGGCTGAAGCCCGCTGAACGGAGGGAGCGGGCAGGTTGGTAGTGAGTCAGCAGGTCAGAGAGGTAGGAGGGGGCAAGACTATGAAGTTGGAAAATATTTTGGAGAGAAAAATGAAACTACACCGAATAAGAATTCAGCAAGGATAGACTGCTGCTTCTGAAGGATATGCATGAGCATTATGTGGGAAGATTGATGATGACCCAGTAATGAGCTGTATTCTGGTATATTGGGGTTCCATTACTGGGAGGCAGATGCATATTTAAAGATCTCAAGCTTCACAGTTATAGTTTAAAAAAAGATGGAATTGAAGATTTGGAAGGCAATTACATAATTTGGATTAATTAAATGAAATTTCTGAGTTATAATTGGCAGGATATATTAGGAAAGAAAACCTTGGGGTTTCACCAAATTAATTCAAGTGAAGCACATGATCCTGTCTTGGCAAGCTGAGGAGAGGGTTGTAAGGATGAAGGATGAATAACATCAACAACAATTTATATTTCTACAGTGACTTTCATGATGGAAATATGTTTCCAAGCACTTTGCAAGGTTGACTGGAAGTCCTGGCTGTGGTTTTGGGGGAGGGAGAATGATGTGGTCATAAGGACCACTAAATCATTTTTTATTCGCAAAATAAAAAGATGCTTTATTTCTGGGTCCATTTTTTTCTATAAGAAAACTTGAAATAAACTGTCGGTCTTGTTTTTGGTTGCTTTGTAAAACTTTTTGAAACTTCCCTTACAAGAGGAAATAATGAACTGTGATGGAAAAAATGCCCATTTCGCCTGCAGGAAAATCTCAAGCTCTCCTGCCTGTAAGGCGATATTTCTGAGTTAGCCAGTCGATGCGTCCATTGAAAGTAAAAAATTTTATTGCCTTATAGTTCAGCATCCCACCAGGAAGAGAGTGCACAAATCTACCTCTGGGATTTCCATGTGTACTGTGGAATTCTCAGCTTGGTTTGGATACCTTTAAGCATGGTGATGGGTTTTGGCATGTGTCAGACACCCAGCTGATCAGAAACAATTCATCCGGTAGTTTATAAAACAATTGTTTTTAAACCTGATTTAGGAAACGTGAGTGAGATATTGATTTGTTTGCACAAGGGTCATACATACTGTAGTTGACTGCCCAAAAGCATCAAGTTCAGGGCAGCAGCTTCACTTACCAGCTCCTTCTTTTTCATGCACTCCATTAGAATGATGAAGAGATGCTGGGCTTGGGTACGGCTGTAGTTGAAGGTCTTTTGAATGGTGACAAGTAGCTGGTCTCTTAAGGACTCATTGATTACCCTGCAGTACACAAGTTACACAGGAAAATGCCTTTAGAATTACAAGACAGTAAAAAAATACATTTGTATAGTGGCTTTCACGTCAGGTGGATGTCCCGAGGAACAGGAGAGTCAGGGATTGGGACCCGGGCAGGGGTGGAATCAGGAGGAGTAGAGAGCAGGGATAGGAGGATGGGATGGAGTTCAGAAGAATGAGGGCAGAGAGGCTGAAGGCCCGATTGCCGATGGTGAGCCGGGCCGGGCAGGGAGGTGGAGCAGGCCAGAACATGCTTAATGGAGGGAGCGACAATTTGATAAGGAGTTAGCAAGTCACAGAGGTAGGAAGGGGCAAGACCATGGAGGGCCCTGAAGGTGAGGACGAGGATTTTGAACTCTATCCTCTGAGGGATGTAGCCAAATACACAGTGACAGACACTCCTCTGGTAGCTTTATGGATAAAGGCTGTAGCAAACCATCTGGCCTCCTGGCTGTTCCAAGTTAGATGTTCTCAGCCAGGGAGGTAGTTGAGGGAACTTAAAATTAGCCTCTACAGTTGGGGAGCAGAAAAATCAATCTGGACTGTCATCTAAATTCTTCTCCAGAAGTATATACTGGAAGGTGGGCATCAAGTGTTGACAGGATCAGGCTATGGATGCTCCTGTGGTTGATCATCTGCTGATACTCAAGGCATGGGAGGGCACCCATGGAACTGTAACCCAGTAGAAGAGAAAAGGACCCCAACACTTCCACAATAGGAGAGAAGAAAAAAGGAATAGGGAACAGACAGCTGTGGGCACAAAATGTCACTTCTAACAATGCAGCACATCCCCAGCACTGCATTGAAGTGTCGATGTAGACTAAATGAGTTCCAAGTCCCGACTTGGGGCTTGAACCCGCAACTTTCGGACTCAGAGACGAGAGTGCTACAAACTGAGTCAGGCTGATGCTCGCATGGGAGGATGGTGGATGGTGGAGTTTTTATTTAGGATGGATAAAATGAAATCGGCTGAGGACGTTCCACATTCTAACCTCTTGCGACCTGGAGAAGCATGAGGAGGCGACTCAGAAACTGTGTCTTTTCTATTGTGAAAGTCACCTCTTTGCACACTCAGCACCGTGGTGTGCACAGCTGCTGCACTGCCATAGACAACGCATGGTTTCACCTCGTACGTCGGGTGTGACAGAACTCACCCGGCTTCTTCTGAGTATTTGTGACCGAAGGCGAGGATGTCCGAGGCTCGTCCACTGCCATCGCAGACCACGACTGGCACCGGGGGTGTGTCCCGCAAATACTCCAGGACAATGGAGATCACGTTAGGCCCTCCTTCCACAATCAGAGCCACCACTGGAACACCTTGGCCGATCCCTGTGGGGCCGGAAAAAATGAAGAATGAAGGTCAAGGGACCAGAGTGGGTCACGTGGTTTCACTCAGGGGGACTAACCTGGAATCCACCTTAAATGGTGGAATTATCCTTTAATCACATTTAAATGTTCCAAACAGCTCTCAACCAAATGTGGCTTAAACAACAACTTATATTTATATAGCGCCCTTCACGCGGGGTAGTGTCTGGGAGTGCTTAACCCCAGCAGTCTGACCCTGAGCCAGGGGGAGAGGGAGTGGGGAGGTGACCGTAAGCACAATCAAAAAGGAAGGTCTTTAGGCGGGATTTGTAGGTGGGGAGGGAGGGGGCAAGGTGAAGGGATTGAGTGAGAGAGTTCCAGAGTTTCGGGGTGTAGTGGCTGAAGGCACGGCCACCAATGGTGGAGCAGAGGTTACAAAGGACAGACAAGAGGCAGGAGCCAGCCGAACAGTGTCAGCCCATTTGAAAAGGTGAAGAGTTAGGGAAACCTGATGAACCCCATAGCTTTGAGTCCACCTTAACAGCTTGATTCTGAACATGATGTGCTCAGACAGTGTAGACTTCATACTGAATCTGTATTATGAAGAATGTGCCGTTTAGACCCAAAGAAACAGGACTCTTCAGAAGATCATGTACAGGTTCATTCTAGTTGTGGGAAAGGGATGGGGGGGATGGGGGGGCGGAGAGGAGAGGAATGAACTGTTGAAATATAATTCATCTTTGACAGCATTGAGCATGCAAATCAAACTCCTCTCCTACTGCTGGCAGACACGATACAGTACCTCTCCTCAGGCTCAGTCTCACTCCTATTCAAAGCAGCCGTCATCACTCCCCTCCCTAAAAAAACTACTCTCAATCCCTTCAATCTCGCACACTACCATCCCATCTCAAACCTGGCCTTCCTGTTTTTGGAAACCAACTTCGCTCACACCTCTCGCTCCACTCCCTATTCAAACCCCCCCCAGTCCAGCTTCCACCCTGCCCACAGCAAAGAGACAGCGCTCTTCAAAGTAACAATGTCCTCTCTCTCCGTGACCAGGACTCCCTCTGCCTCCTCGTCCTCCTGGATCTCTCCACAGCGTTGGACACAGTCGACCACACCATCCTCCTCTGCCTCTCCTCCCTCATCCATCTTAGTGGGACTGCACTCGCATGGTTCGAGTCCTACTTAATAAACTGCCAGCAAAACATCTCGGCAAGTGATTTTTCCTCCCATCTTCACCGGGTCACCTGCGGGGTACCCCAAAGCTCTATCCTTGGCCCCCTTCTTTTCCTCCCCTACGTGCTCTCTCTTGGTGATGTCATCTGCAGATATGGGGTCAATTTCCACATGTGCGAATGATACCCAAATCTCGAGTGCTGGCTCTTTACTGTGGGAAGGGCGGAAGCCAGACTGGGGGGGGGTTGAGTAGGGAGTGGAGGGAGAGGTGTGAGCGAAGTTCTCCTCCTCCAGCAGTGCCTCCCACTCCACTGATGCCCTGCCAGCTTTTTCTGAGGTTATTTGAAGTCACTAGTTTATCAAAATCGGCTGCAATCAATAAGCCTGCTGAAACACTCAGGAAAGTAATAGAAAATGTCATTATTTGTTGTAGTGAATGTGTAGATGTACAGGGAAGTCATCTTTCCAGTATTATTTTTAAACAGTCGTTTATTTAATTTAAAAAGAACGTAACAACAAAGTCTGTACTATTGATTTTTATGCACTGAACATGGTCTTTGAAGAAATAAAGTAATTATTTATCACGATTTTTTGGTCACTTTTTAGAACAAATTGTATTTATATAGCACCTTTCATGTCGGCAAGACATCCGAAGGCGCTGGACAGTCAAGGGCTTGCACCTGAGCTGGAGTCAAGTGGAGTGGGGGGGAAGGAGGGTGGGGGTGGGAGGGTGACTGAAGACACGGTCAAAGAGGTGAGGGAAGGGGCGAGGCGAAGGGACTTGTGGATGGAGTTCCAGAGAGTGGCGACGGAAAGACTGAAGGACTGACCACCGATGGTGGGGCGGGCCAGGCAGGGGACACGGAGCAGGCTAGTGCCCACCGGGCAGAAGGAGTGGGCAGGTTGGTAAAGTATGAGGTTGGTAGGTCATAGAAGTAGGGAGGAGCAAGACCGCGGAAGGCTTTAAAAGGGAGGACGAGGATCTTAAACTTGATTCTCTGATGATGGGGAGCCAGTGGAGCCAGGCGAGGATGAGGGTGATAGGGTCACAGAGTTTGGGGTGGGAGAGGACACAAGCTGCAGAGTTCTGAATAATCTGCAGCTAGTGGAGGGAAGATTTGGGAAGTCTGGCAAGCAAGGAGTTAACAATATTAAGTCTGATGAAGACATGATAAATACACGGCTGAGGGTCTCGGCTGCCTGAGAGATAAGGTAGTGGCAGAGGCAGGCAATGTTGTGGAGGTTGGGGAAGTCAGAATGGTATGGATGTAGGATTTAAAAGGCAGTTGCTAGTCGAACAAGACACCAAGACTCTGTACTGTACTGACTCTGTAAGATGGAGAGTGAATCCCTTTTTTTATATTAGAAATGACTCCTTGCTCTCTTGAAGTCCATGGTAATCATGCAAATCTTTTTAATCATAGCTTAAGCATTCAAATTCAATTACAAATGAAAGGTAACTAAGTAGAAATGGGATTTTTTTCTGATTTGCAGACATATTTCATTATCTAGTAAGACAACTAGCACGGTCAAACACTGACTGAGGTTAAGAAACTCCTAAATTGATCTGTCAATCCTAACCTGGTTTGCAAAGGCAGATTTTATTCTGGAGCATGACTAAAACTGTTTAAAACCAATCAATTGTAATAGTAACTGAATCAAAGTATATCTTCACTTTTTTTTTGCAGGAGAACAATCAACAACAACAAATTACATTTACGATCCGCGATGGTGGGGCAGGCACGGCAGAGGACGGGATTCAGGCCGTTGCTTGCTGAGCGGAGGGAGTGGGTGGGTTTGTTGGGTTTAAAAAGGTTGTAGAGGTAAGGTGGGGTCGGAGGTTGAGGGATTTAAAAGTGAGGACAAGGATCAAGTGAAGATGGGGTTGATAGGTTCATGGCATCTAGTGTGGGAGAATCTAGAGCCAGAGTCTAGTGCGCCCAATAATCCTGTTCTACCAGACTGTTAGATCATGGCAGATCTATCAATCAATCCCAAGTACGTATCCATCCTGTTTAAACACCCCAATTACCTCTGATTCTGCAGCCTTCCAGGGCAGTTAATTCCACATTTTCACAATTCTCCGTGTGAAGAAACACTGTCTAACCTTACTTTTACTTAAAGTAAGATATCTCTTACCTTTGTCATTCTGTGCTATGTATTTATCAATTTGCAAATTACTGGCTATTTATTAATCAGGCTGTGTAAGAAGCTGAGGCACTAGGGGATAAAAAGGCAATGTACCATACTGTAATTGGTGAACCTGAATGAAAAATGGGAACAAAATGTTCGAAATTGCTCTTTGATATACAAAGTGAAAGATGGAGAAATGGTTATTGAGTTCAATAAAGGAGTAGACAGTGGTATTCTCAAACACGGAGATTATTTCATAAGAGAAGTGGACTCCCTCGCACACATGGATGGAGTTCCCAAGTGGCCGGCTCATGTTAGTGCAGTTCCCTTATGAAATAGTTTATATATTCAATGAAATATACATTGCTGCTTTTTCCACAACCATAAATAAATGTCAATACAGTATCTCTTGGTTTGGGCCAGCTACCACATGCCTATGCCATTGCATTGTCCCCTCAGACCATAGAAATGCCAAGAAGAAGGCCATTCGGCCTGTTGTGTCTGTGCTGGCTTTTTTAAAGAGGTATCCTTTCATTCCCATTTATCTGTCCTTTTCCCATACCCCTTTTTAGATTCACTGTATATACAGGTATACAGCCTCTGCAACTGTCTGCTTTAATTACTCTTCCTTTTGGTATTTGCCCTGTACAGAGTTTCCATCTTAGCTTTGTCTCTCCTTATGGTCTTTTCCTACTTGGGAACCACTTCATTATGTAGCAAAGCCAGCTCAAGGAGGAGTTGGAGAGACAGCAAGAGTGACACTCAGCAAAGACATAAATGAGAGCTGGAGAAGAGGACAAAGCTAAAACAAATATCTGGCCCACACAGAGATTAAGGAATCAAAGGTCCAGGTAATGGAAAGTGAACATGAACAGAATAAGTGAGATAAAAAATAGCTCAGAGGAAGGCCACAGAGATTCAGAAGCAGGATGAGATGTGACAAGGAAGTGTCCTGGGCGAGGAGGGCAGTAGAAATGGAAAGCACCAAGAAATTAGTTAAAATCCAGTCAGTGAGACATTGAAACAGTTTCATTGTTTATTCCAAGCCATTTTGGACCTGATAACAATAATTCCACAAGAGTAAACAAAAAGGTTAGCTGTTTTTTTACATGATTTGAGGTACTCAGAGAGGTACATTGTACTAGCAGTGGACACACGTCTAGACAGAATATACTGTACACTAGGTGTATATCTGCTATAAACTGCACATATATTTGCAGCATTTAGACGTGTTGGCAAAGCTTACGGGATAATGAGTTTGATATTTTAGTTATCAATCCTGAGTTATGTTTTATTTCAGCTGTGTTGGTTTTATACGTTTCTATCTCAGAAATGCCAAGAGGGCGCAATGTTTAATTGATGTGTGGGGGTGCAGAATGGGTAGAAAGAAGGACAAAAGGTAGCTTATTGTGAGTTTTGTAAGTGAAAGGCAACCAGATATAGCTTTTCATTCATCAGGTGGTCACTTACATTGAACCAGCTGTCAAACCATCATTGCTGGAGGAAAAAATGAGCACAATAAAAATGAAGGTTTCGTTACTGCCAGACAGCTACTTCTCTAACAGCCTTATTCCACAGTGCCATTCCTAGACAAGAGACACTTTAGAGGATAATAATAATAAACTTTGCATTTGATATAGTGCCTCATCATGTCTTTAAAATGTTTGAAAGCACTTCACACAATACAGTGTAAAGCGTGGAGGGCGTTATAT